TTACGAAGTAATCATTTAGTAGGAGGTTGTTTAATTTCCACGTTTTTGTGTAGAAATGTGAGTTTCTGTTAGGGTTGATTTCTAGTTTTATTCCACTGTGTAAAATTCAGTTTAACCATTCATCAGCCTTGCTTCTACCCTGAATACACCCTAGTTTGTCCATATCTCCCTTAAAAATGTAACCCCTGGGACGAACACCCTCCAGGAGTAAGAACTCAGTACTCCAGTGAGTGGCTAGAGGAGGGAAGAGTCTACTGCCTGAACATGACCATTTTAGAAATCCCACCTAAAATTCCACTGGGGCCATCCGGCCACCCTGCCTGTCTCCACACTGAGCTTACAGTCAACTAACGCCCATTGCCTTTTCCTCATGAACAGCTACTAAGTTTTCTCCAGTACTTCTTATCTAGCTTTTCGTTGGTGGTGTTTGTTTATGTTTGATGTAAGGGCAGAGCTTTCACATTTATCTTTCTTAGACAACATCTTGTTCCTTTAGGCCCATGCGCCCAGCGTGAGATCTCTCAGGGCCTACTCTCCCCCTCGGCACGTTGGCCGTCTTCCCTAGCTCTCTCTTAGCGGTGTGTTCACAGAGCCGATTCCCCTGTTTACATCAAATTCTTGGAGACAGATGTTAAAGAGATGAGTGTGGTCACTACTGAGGTCTACTCCGTGCCAATGGATAGAAGAATAAAAAGGCACAGTCCTTTGCCCCGGAGGAGCCTATGATAAGGTGAAGGAGATAGACACGGAGACAAGCTTCTTTCCATGCTGTGGGGAGAGGAATGGTGAGGGCTGTGGCTACACACAGGAAGAGTATTTGGTCCAGTCTGCAGAGGGAAGGTGCCCAGGAAAGGCTTCTCCTGGAGGAGATGGTGCCCGGCTGGAGTCTTGAAAGATGCACAGGGGTTACCCAGAAAAACAAGGAAAGTAGGGGTGGGGGAGCCCAAAGGAGAGGAGCCTTCTGATGAGTGTGTGTGAGTGACACGACACACAGCTCCGTTACTGGAGGTGAGCAGGGAACAAGCACATATCAGCTGGTGACTGAAGGGCTAAGCAGGGTTCAAGCCACGGAGGTCTGGTTTTCTAGACTAAGAAGCAGGACATCATTTATTTATTTGGGAAACATTTACAAAGCAGCTGTGTGTGCTCAGAGTTCTCTGGAAGTTGGAATTAATCCTCTAATGAACTGCCTTTTGATCTGGCCATTCACCAAGCTTTAAATCCATCCCGGCTGCCCTATGCAGCAGCCATGCTGTCCACAAAGACAAGGTGGAGAGATCTGTGCTGTGACGGTTCATACGTAAATACAGAACATCTATGATGTTACTCTGATTTCCTCCTCTACTGACCTCATTAGCAATGGGTAATGAAGTACTTTGCATGACTTATTGTTAAAAATCATGTTAAGTCCCCAAGCTCTCTTGGTATTTGGTTCCAGAATCTACCTTTTTAAAAAAATTTGTTTTGAAAAATGACATATTTGCCCATCTCCAGTCTGTACATGCTTCTCTTGTTCTCCACGGTTCTTTGAAAAGTGCTGACACTGATCCATGAGCACGTCTAAAGTCCTTCCAAGGACATGGATGTGGAAAGTCTGGGTTGGAAACATGAACCTATTTAAATTCTCAGGTGCTTTCATGGTCATTCATAGACTTCTGCGTTTGCATTGGAAAGAAAATTCTTGATGGATATCTCAACTGGCCCTGTGCCCGTCCTTAACAGCTCTCTCCTTGCATGGAATACCTCCCTCCTAGTGCCAGGGTGGGGCTTGGCACCAGGTCCTCCTCCACATTTACCTTTGCCTCAAGAGAACAGGCAGATGCCAGAAGCCAGAGTTGTGTGTGTGTGTGTGTGTGTGTGTGTGTGTTATGGGGGAGGGGGTGTCTCACTCTGTCACTCAGGCTGGTCTTGAACTCCTGGCCTCAAGCCATCTTCCCACCTCAGCCTCCCAAGTCTCTCGGATCACAGGTGCAAGCCCCCCATGCCTGACTCTCTCTCCTTGTTAACTTCATACCGCCTTATCCAAACAATAGGACTGTTTCTTCTTTGGTCTTCTTGCTCCAAAGACAGCTAGTTCAAAGGCTAGTTTTGTTCTTGGCATCTTTCATGACCTTCAGCTCATTGTTTTCAAATAATAGCACTGCCTCAGTTCATACGGATTGTATAAGAAGAGATGAGAAGATTTAACATACATTTTGACATATAGTTTCCTCCCTTCTCCTCCTATGGCTTTGCTTGAACATCTCATGGCTACAAGAGCAATCCATGTGAGCTTCACAAGAAGGGAGCACCTTCTTCTGGCTCAGATTATTACATCTGCTCCAAATGTACCTGTCAAAAACTCTTCTGATGACCCCCTACCCTCCCATTCCTGGACATTTTACTTTTCCCACCACCCTGATCAAGAATAATTTATAGCTCTGCCAGCTTAGTGAGAACAATGCTTGGGTGCTACAACTCAACAACAACTCTGTTGCTTTTGTAAGAATTACAAATACAAAGTAGAATTTTTATTCTGGCACTGTGGTGCCTATTCTTGAAAAATCTCCAAATACTGGGCAGTTCCATTTAGGATACAGAATATCCAATTACATCCAATACTAAAACAACATATACTAACATTAGGAGGGATGTTTGCTCTTGGGCTTAAGGAGAGTTTATTATTATTTTTTTATTAAATATTTCATTTTATTTTATTTATGATAGTCCTAAGGAGAAGTTTAAATTGCCAGAGGAGTTATAGATAACTGAAACACTTGATTGAAGGTAAAAATGATGTCTGTCAACTTTAACTCATTCTCACCCAACAAAATATTATATCCTATTTGCTTTCAAATAAACTGCTATGAATATTGTGATTTTTAAAATCTGTCTGTGGTTCTGTTCCTTTTTATCTGAAATACAGGGAGCACCAGGTACCCCAGGTCTTCCAGGGCTCAGAGGTGATCCTGGATTCTATGGGTTTCCAGGCGTGAAAGGTACTGTTTTTGTGCACTGTTCTTTACATGCAAAGAAGCATGATTCATATTTTAGGGCACACAAATGTTTATTGAACTCCTACAGTCACCATAGACGGGGTTAGTGCAAAGAGGACCTCAAAATGAGCGAAGAAGGAAGACTCCACCAACACCCAATCCCATGTGGCTTAAAAATTAAAACCCTAATTTAAGAATATAAACCACAGAAAAACTAAAAACAGAAACAAATTAATCAGTGGTAAAGTGGTTACCTTTGAGAATATTGATATGTGTTGGGGTGGGGGATGGGAAACAACATTAATATTAATAGCATTGTTTTGAGTTGTTTATTTTACCATGTGCATGTATTACTTTCATACTTGTTAAAAGGCTGAAAAGTCTAAAACATCATTCACCAAACTGTTCATGGGGGGAGAGTAATTAACCACTTCGGTACCAGCGTCGATGATTGTCGACAGCCACAGATGAACGCGCGCAGTGGCTTTAGCCGACAGCCATGATATGACTTTTCTAATTTTTCATTTATCAAAATAAAATTGTGAACATTTAAAAATAACGTAGTGAAAACATATATGTATATGTTACCTATTCTGATTTACATTACAAGTAAAGCTGCCTATAAAGTAAAACAAGCTTTCAGAGCTTTAAAGCTTTCCTCATCACACAAGAGCAAAACAGATTCGTGGTCAATGCACAGCACACACTGTCGTGCGGACTGTGAGTGCTGGCTGTGGGCAAGGTTTCACGGCCAGTGAGCGCCGTACCGAAGTGGTTAAATCTTTATACACAGAAATAAAAATGTATAAGCATTTTTATTTTTATGGGGCATCTGTATTATATTTTTAATCCAAAAGAAAACTCATATAATTTTCGGGAGGTTTTAAGGTAAAATATTCACACACATAAATTCAAACTTCAGGTTTCAGCACATAGTTCTCAAGTCTCCCCTGAGTGTGCTATGACTTTAAAGTTTTGAATATTTGATTCATTGTCTTAGCTTGTTAATTACTCTGGTATTATTTTTGTGTTGCCTGGAGTTTATCATCAAAGACTACAGAGATGCTAAATAACAAGTATAACCAATGTGAACAAAGCCACATTTTCATGAAGAAAACCTTTTTCCAGGTTCCAGGGACAACAAGGTGTACTTAAAAGAGGTCATTTTGAATGCTTTCAACTGCTGACTCTTTAAGAAGCAAATTAAGAATAAATCAAAGAACTGATTCCTAGGAGTCTCATGAGACATGGGGGGGGGGAATTCTGACTGGCAGGCTGCCCAGGAAAAATGTATAATGCCCATCACTTGCTCAAGTCTCAGAATGTGAATATCTAAGCTATGAAAACTATATAAGGGTTCACTAAAGAAAGAAACATTCTAGTAAAATATTTAGAAGTATTTAGAGGGGAAATTCTTAAAATCAGGTTTTTTTACATATGTTCCAAGGAACATATTCAGTTATGCTCTTAGATTTCAAATAACACCATGAGCTGGCACTACTGACAAGTTTGTACTTCTTTATTTGGAAATTTTAAAACCTGGAAAGCAAAAACATTTAGGTTTCTTCTGGTGTATATAAGTAAATATTAAATACCTTCCTCAAGTTCTGCTATCGAGTGGGTAATTTACAGTGTAGTAGCCTGTTACTTTTTGGTACTATAATTATTTTATTGTATTTCTACTATTCATATCATATTTGGTATTAAAGTCTTTCTAAGTAAGCAGATAACATATCTACAACATTTCAAGATTCTTTAAAAGACAGTATTTCTCCAAATAAATGGCTCTTGGTAATTTTATTTGTGTCAAAGACTATGATTGAGAAAGAAATCTTACCACTTTATTAGTTTACATCAAAGCAGATATTCTATATGTGTTTAAGAGAATTCCTGACAATAACCTGAGAAAGGGAATAACGATAACCAAGCAATATGATTCACCAGGAGGTGCTGAAATAGGTTTTAATGTGAGCTTGTATTTTACCTAAAATAGTAAATGGTTTCTGAACTCAAAAAGTGAACTCTTAGAAACCCTTCCCCTTCAATGCTAAATACAAATTCTTAGTACAGTAACGCTACATTTAGACTGATTAAACATGATAGATTGGGTCCAAATGAAATGTCAAAATCCACAGGAACATAATTAAGTTGTAGCCATTGTCACAGACTTCATAACTTCCAGTATTTATCCTTAGAGTTGATCATCAATCCGAAGAGGTCAGGAGTTCAAAACCAGGATGAGCGAGACTCCGTCTCTACTAAAAATAGAAAGAAACTAATTGACCAACTAAAAATATATGTACAAAAAATTAGCTGGGCATGGTGGCACATGCCTGTAGTTCCAGCTACTCGGGAGGCTGAGGCAGTAGGATCGCTTTAGCCCCGGAGATTGAGGTTGCTGTGAGCTAGGCTGACGCCACGGCATTCACTCTAGCCTGAGCAACAAAGTGAGACTCTGTCTCAGAAAAAAAAAACAAAAAAAAAATCCAAAGAGCTAGGAAACCTATTGTTTTAAGTGGAATCACACTGTTTTTCTTTTCTTTTCATTTTTAAGGAGAGAAGGGTAATCCAGGATTTCCAGGATTAATTGGGCCTCCAGGGCCAATTGGACCAAAAGGACCACCTGGTAAATATATTTCTTTACTATTGCTCTCCATGAAGAAAGGGTAACTCATCAGTGAAGCTGTCTTCTTCTTCTTTTGTTTATGTCAATAGGTGTACGTGGAGACCCTGGCACACTTAAGATCATCTCCCTTCCAGGAAGTCCTGGGCCACCTGGCCCACCTGGAGAACCAGGGATGCAAGGAGAACCTGGGCCACCAGGGCCACCTGGATACCTAGGTGTGGGACTGGCAGCATTAACTTGGATCACTAGGAAGTGGTTGAAAAAAAATGCCTGCAAAGTGCTTTGGAAGCACATGATACAACCTCAAAATGTTAAATATTATAGTGTTTTTCACAATCAGTTTTAGGATTAAGCTCATTTTACTTTACTTTATCAGCAAATAAAAGACCTTTTATTTAAAACTATTTCTAAATGATTTCCTGAATATGCCTGAGTTCTGTGAATTTATACTTTTTTTAATACTTTGTACAGCAAAGTATTAGAAAAAATGATTTTGAAATCTTTTCAAAATATTGATGTTTAGAAATGGAACCTCTCTATATAGGCTTAGCATATTGTAAAAAATTTTTGAATGATTATGCTCTAAGTTTGTCTGAATCACCTGGGAGATAGGAAAGATATTACTTATTAGTTTGATCAATATATGGGCATAGTGAATCCCGGAAGAACATAAATCAAAATGGCAGTATAAAATTTTAAACTGCTGTATTTAATATAAGTGTAGTTCATTTTTGAGAGTCTTTGTTTCTGGGAAGTAGGGGTAACGAGTTGGGTGACCAATCATCCCGGCTTGCCCAGGTCTTCCTGGGATGCAGGACTTACTTTGGTGAAACTGGAAAAGTCACATGTTAACGGATGGTTTGGCTACCTTACCTGTCATCCAATATGATGATATGCAATGCAGTGTTGGTGTTTGCCTAGGACCTTGTGGGCCAAGAGGTAAACCAGGCAAGGATGGAAAACCAGGAACCCCTGGACAAGTTGGAGAAAAAGGCAACAAAGGTTCTAAAGGAGAGCAAGGTAAACGAAGAGCCAGCTTATTTCCTTCACTGAAGAAATGCTGTTTCGATATACTGAGAAGTTTTCTTTGAGGGGGTGACTGCATAAGTAATCTAGGCCTTTCAGTTTGTGTTGTTCACATTAGAGCAAAGGCCAGGGACCAAATGTTTATTTGGAAGAAGATGTAAAGTCAACAATTATGGGAATATACTGTTCTTCCTACCTTTTAGCTGGGCAGATGTACTCCAAATCTTTAGCTTATGCACAGTTTAGCCAGAGGACAAATAGAACTAGTGGGGGTTCTATTTTTAGAAAGGCTAATACTATTTTAAGAACTTATAGGAGTTGTTAGTGATGATGAGAAGAAAATACATAATCTTTTCTCAATTCTCATAAGGTTGTATTTGAGACACTATCCCGAAACATATGACAGATTAACAAGAGAAAAACAAATTAATTTTAACACATGCAGCGTACATCACAAGAGAGAAACCTCAGTTTAAAAGTATCTCCCAAGGCAGTAGTTTGGAGTTCTGCTTTACATAGTATTTCAACAAAGGACAATAAATCTTAGCACAGTGACAAAAAAAAAAAGGAACAAGCAGCTTCAGGCTCCTAAATGTGGGAAAACTGTGGGACAGTCATAAAGTTTGCTCTCAGATTCCTCTGGCCCAGTTGGCAGTGTGTCTGTGAGCTGATAAGCAGCATGAATATATATTTCTGTCTTTGCAGAAAAGGGGGGGCAAGAAGAGAGCCCCCCCACATTTTCAGTGTCTTTAACTCAACAATCCTAGATATTTAAGGGAGAAATATTTTAATTTTCTTCAGTTAATAACTACTTAATCGGAGTCAGAAAAATATTACCTTGATATGCATACAAAAGCAAATTAGTATCTTCACTTAGGAAAGCCATCTTTTAACTATACCATTCTTGAACACAAGTCAACAATTCATGTGTGTCCCGAAAAGGGGCCACTTAAAATATGTTTCATCTTGAATATAAGCTATATGTGTCAGTTTGATACCTGGATCAAAATCTACCTTCTGCAAAAAGTTTCAAAGTGTCCTTCTGGAAAATACCTACATGTCCAAATCTTACATTTTTAGGACTGCTTACTTAAAATTGTAAATGTGATTTCCCAATTTATTGACATAGATATGTTTAGATCTACTATAATGAAACTGTAAGGACTAGAGACTTAAGTTTTTGAAAATTCAAATACGATGCTCACCTTATGAATTATAATATTAATTGCATAATTACTTATGATTTAGTATTGTCATGAGTGCATATTAGAGTACTAGCAATCATTCAACTTTCTTTAAAATGTTTTTCAAAATGGTAAAAGAGAAAAGTCTTATTAATACTGCTATTAACTTAAAAATTGCAATGGCCAAGGCTAGGTTTCAAAATGGGGCAGCAGCAAAAGCAAGTGTACTACAAAACAAATTATGTTGAGAATTATTAGCCAGTAGTCAGAGTTAGCCCAATGCTATGGAGGCTTAATAAGAATGATAAAGGGATGCAGGAGTCAAGTTGCACTGGCATAAACTGATAGCCTTGGCCCCTTTCCTGGAGATGCAGAATAGCCTTGGATATCACATATTTGCACAGAAGCTCACCTCTAGTTCCTGTCCAGCTCAGCTTATCACTGTACAATTCCTGTGCAAAGGTCCAGAGGCATCTTTTGCTCAGGCCAATTATAGCCCCCTGTGACTGAGGGCAGGGGTTAAGAAAAGTGAAGAATGAGTGAGTGTCTCCCCTATGTATTAAAACTATGGCAATTTTGGACTTTTCAAGTAAGACATGAGACTTTGAAGAATTTGGATGTGGCCAATTTTTAATTTCAAAAAACAGGTCAAGGTCCCTGGAGAAGACTAGGGTGGGCAGAATTCAGAGAAGACTGAAAAAAATATATAATGTTGTGACTTTTACAAATTTTCGTGAAAAGTATTCACTTCTGAGTCAGGACTTGTGACTGCCTGACTCTCTCACTACTTGACTCCCATGGCATGGCTGTTTGTGGGCGAGAACAATATCTCCCTTGACACTGTAGGCCAAAGGTTTAACAGGGTCTGCCTTCTCTGTTCTTCCTTAGGAAATGAAAGGACCATGGCCCAAGTCAGTTGGGGAAGGGAGGGGTCAGGGTGTACTGGCCGCAGAAATGGATGGGGGTAGGGAGGTGGTAGCCAATGCCAATATCATAAATAATACCTATTGGATAAAGAAAAAGAGAGGAAAGGTCAGGAGGAAAAAGAAAGGAAAGGTCAGGTGGAAGGGACAAAGGATAGCTCACTGATCCTCCTCTAGAAAGTGACAAATGTGGATTAGCCTATTCCAACTGCAAAGAAAAAAAACAAAGTATATAAATCACTTTGTTTTTAACTCATATAAATAAAAGAAACTAATCTTACAGTAAAAAAAAAAATCTTTTCTCATTTGCCTTACAAGTTGATCAAAAACTTTCTTGAAGTTTACACCTTTAAAAAGAACTTTAAATGTTTTCTGTGATTGTTTTCGAAAATGTCAAAAGCATAAGTAAATTTTTATTATCCACTTGAATAGACTTTCAGGTTTTAGAGATTTGACTTGATTTACTTTTCCCTTATATTATAGGAGGAGCCATTCACTTATCTATAAAAGATGTATATAAGACCTACCAGATGAGGCCACACTGTGTTAGGCATTATAGGGAAATTCAAAAACCTCATAAGATACAAACAAATATCTATAATAAGAAGCACTGTGTGTTAAACTGCTTAACACTTAATAATATTGTTTGGCCATTTTATAAGCCACTCTTCTCTAGGATTCCTCTCTATATTTGGAGCTATATATGTATATGTGTGTGTGTATATATATATACTATATATATATTAAATTAGTACTTTGGAAAAACAAGTTTCGTATTTTGTTTGTTTTGTAACATTTATAATGTGTTTTTTGAAGGACCACCTGGATTAGATGGATTGCCAGGTTTGAAAGGAAAACCTGGAGACATTGGATCACCTGCAACCAGAACAACAAGGAGAGGCTTTGTCTTCACCCGACATAGTCAAACAACAGTGATTCCTTCATGTCCAGAAGGGACAGAGCCACTATACAGTGGGTTTTCCCTTCTTTTTGTACAAGGAAATGAAAGAGCACATGGACAAGACCTTGGTAATGTCCCAGTCCTAGTGTCCAGTTGTAGTGTTCCATATGCAGGTTGTAAATATTAATAGCAGGGGGTGCTTCCCTCTGAAGTTAAGTATAAACAACCTTGAGTAACTTCCAGCATGTTTTAAAGAGAGTAAATAAAGTGACACTGGCCTAATGTCTTAATTTTTATTCTGGAATGAAAAAGGCTGGAAGGAGCCTAGCTCGTGAATGCCAGCCTACCTCATCCTGTTCAATGGGAACAATTTTCACTTCAACCACCTATCTGCTTTTTAATCTTACAAGTAACATCTTTTCTAAAGCTCTATGTGGTTATCAGCTATTATGTTCATATTATAACTGGGAATATTTTGAAGCAAAAACATTGTCTCAACTGACCTAGACCAGCCCCTAAGTTCTAGACTGATTAGAGAGAGCCACAGGAAGTATGAAGGGTGGGGGGAGAAAGAGGATTTGTTTGCCTATTGGATCTTTGATTTCTATCTGTATGAAAACTTTTCAATACTACATTTTGCAAATAACTCTTTTGTGTTGTCTTTGTCCAGTTTTTGCCAAAGATTATGTTTTAATTAGCCTCTGTCTAGCAATGATCTTGAAAATAACTTTAACTCACTGAAAGTGATACTCAGTCTGATGTTTTATTAGGAACTCTTGGCAGCTGCCTGCAGCGATTTACCACAATGCCATTCTTATTCTGTAACATCAACAATGTATGCAGTTTCGCATCTCGAAATGATTATTCATACTGGCTGTCAACACCAGCTCTGATGCCAATGGACATGGCTCCGATTACTGGCAGGGCCCTTGAGCCTTATATTAGCAGGTAAAAATCTAATCCCTTAGTTTTGCAATAGGATCAAGGGAATCACTTCACTTGGAATGGAATGTAAGGCAGCACATCATGTTGTAGAAAGTGGTGAGGCTGCCACAGTCTTTGTTTCATGTTACAGATGCACTGTCTGTGAAGGTCCTGCAATCGCCATAGCCGTTCACAGCCAAACCACTGATATTCCTCCATGTCCCCAAGGCTGGATTTCTCTCTGGAAAGGATTTTCTTTCATCATGGTAAGAAGAAAAGGGAATAAGGGATTTATAGTAAAGATTACCTGTAGAGTCTTACTGGGTAAAATGTGGCCCCCAGGATTGATGCTGCCCGATGTCAGTGTATATAATATGCTGTAGGCACTTGCTTGAAAATCTGCAACTACTTGTTTCATTTTTTTACTTTTAGTTCCTTTTGGTAAACAATAGAGCATTTTAAAAAATCGATATCTCCAGAGGAGATTATCTACAAATTCTAAAGCATGACATTTATTATAGGTGAATAGTAGCTAATCTTTACCATGTGCCATGACTCTTCTAGGAGCTAGGATACCAGGAACAAAGGGTCCTGTTCTCATCGCACTTACATCCTAGTGAGGAAGATGGACAAGCAGCAGGGAGACAAAACAACAATAGCAATTACGAGATTTCAGGTGGTGAAGGGTACTGGGAAGGAAGGAAGGCAAAATAAGGGGAGAAACTGTGACAGGGATAAGGCCACGGAAAGCCTTTCTGAGGTTACGTTGACGCAGATCCCAGCACAGGATAGCCAGTCAGATCTGGGGCAAGGAGTACGCCAACCAGAAGCAGCAGCTTTTACTTTCTTTTGGGTGATTATCCCTCAACCTAGAAGAGACCTGGAGTATTAGCAAATCTCGTTAATGAAGGATAAGAAGTTTAATTTATGCTTTCTGGGATTTTAAAATGTTCTTATTGTCTTACATTACAAAAAAAAAAAAACTAGAGAATTGAAAATGTGAACCCCAAATGGACAGAATTTTTATTCAGATATTTTTTACTGTGATAGTTCACAAGTGCAGGCTCTGAAGGCGCTGGGCAAGCACTGTCATCCCCTGGCTCCTGCTTAGAAGAATTCCGAGCCAGTCCATTTCTAGAATGTCACGGAAGAGGAACATGCAACTACTATTCAAATTCCTACAGTTTCTGGCTAGCCTCATTAAACCCAGAGAGAATGTTCAGGTAACTATTCAATGTCAAGTTTAATGTGATGATTCAGTTGCAGAACTATTCCAAGTCTGCCTATGTTAGCTTTTCTTTACCTATGTGTTGATGTACTCACATTTTAAAAAAATCCCCCATGCCCATAAAATCCTGTTTACCTTGGCACTCCCAGTTTACAAGTGTTCTTGAATTTAACGGGTAGCCATGATTTAATACTACTGCACCGATAAGGAAAAAAATGTGTTTTGTCATCACTAAACATTTAATATTTATATATAAATTTACAGTAAATTACTGAATAAAACCATGAAATGATCTGCTAAACTTTTTTGTTTGTTTTTAATAAGAAGAGGGGTTCAATTTCCTTTTTTTTTTTTTTTTTTTTTTTTGAGACAGAGTCTCATTCTGCTGCCCTGGCTAGAGTGCCATGGTGTCATCATAGCTCACAGCAACCTCAAACTCCTAGGCTCAAGCGATCCTACTGCCTCAGCTTTCCAAGTAGCTAAGACTATCGGCGTGCACCACGACACCTAGCTAATTTTTCTATATTTAGTAGAGACAGGGTCTCGCTCTTGCTCAGGCTGGTCTCGAACTTTTGCACTCGATTCTCCCACCTCAGCCTCACAGAGTGCTAGGATTACAGGTGTGAGCCACTGTGCCTGGCCTGCTAATTTTAATTTACTGTATTTACTTGTGTGTATTAATAATTTACTTATGAATAATGCAAATTATTTAAATTATTCAAAGGGTGGGGATAGTCTTTATTACAAAAAAGATGATATGTTTTCATCAAAGCCTATGTTTCTTTAGTGCTACTGAAATATGAGTAAAATTATAAAATGCCAACATATATACTATTTCAGAGATACTCCCCTTCCATAAAGGGTGATATTGCTGTAATAAATTTTAGGATAGCTATCATATTGATTAGTAAAACTCAAACCCAGCAAGTATTCCCTTTTTATCTATAAATCAATGATATTTTTTTTTGGTTTGTTTTTATTTCAGAAAGCCTATTCCATCAACTGTGAAAGCTGGGGAATTAGAAAACATAATAAGTCGCTGTCAGGTGTGCATGAAGAAAAGACATTGAAGAAATCCAAGAAAACTGTACTATTTTTCATCCTAAAAGAACAAAGTAATGACTTGGAACATGCTTTTATTTAGATATTTTTCTCTAACCAAACAACACTGCTCTATGATGGCTTAGTACAAATTTTCAATTTGTTTCCCCATATAACAAAGCATTTCTTTTAAGTTAGTTCTGTGCTCTTGGTCTCTAAATCTGTGCTATTTCAAAGTTCCCTGTAGCAAGGCAGCAACTTTTCACAAAATATTATTGAAAGTGTATTCTTCTTGTATCCAATGCACTATCAAAATGGTGACTATATAAAATCTGAATGCTGCAAGTTAAGAAATATTTGGTTCACTGGATTCCCAACATTTGTCCTCTTCTCTATTCTAGTCTTTGAGACTCAGGGAGACTAAATTAGTCTTAGATCGCCACCCAGCCACCCCTTCCTGAAACATTAGACCCTGGGTAGAGAAGGAAATGGGGGCATAAGGAATACTAAGGCATCATGAATAGAACTGGACTTTCACACCTGTTGAGTAACCTAACAGTTAGCCTTAGGGAACACAGAATTGACTTGAGGTTCACGGATTTTCCAGGACTCTTTCAAACATACCCAAGACTAAAGGCAAAAGTGGAGGTCCCTGAATGGAACCATAATAGCCTTGGAAATACTGTATGGTTTTGTTTTGTATTTTTTAAAGAAATTTTTGTTTGTTTATTGAATTCATTTCACTGCAGCTATAAAGCCTGCTTGTATTCAAAGTAGATAAAATTTTCCCCTACTGAATTAATTTTAACAGTCTGTTGTTTCACACATACTATGAAATGTATCCAACTTTAACTTCTCTTTTACAAGCACACTCATATGAATAACAAGGACATTACTCCTGAAATGTGCACTTTATCCCCATCCCTATAAATGTTGGTGCATGCATACCTTATATAATTGAATAGTTCAATACTCCATGAACAAAACTTCAGGCATTTTTTGGCATATCGGGCTCAGAACATTTTTTCTTTGCTCTAAATATTTCATTACTCTGGGTTTCATAGATTTATATTCCTTTGTTACTTCTCTAATTCTTCCTTTATAAAGAACATGTTTTTATGTTATGTATTCTTACAAGCATTATTGAAAGAGTCCACTGTTTAAAAATCTTAATGTACAAATTGTATAACTTGGCAGCTGTATGTCTTAAAACTTGATTTTGAGTGTGTTCATGCATTCTCAAGGTTACTAAATCCAATTTAACAAGAATTTTATTCAGCATCAAGCCATGTCCCAGGCACTGTGCTAAATTCTAAATCTAGAGAGAGAGAGAGAGAGAGAGAGAGAGAGAGAGAGAGAGAGAGAAAGAAAAGAGACCTGTTTCTGATCTACTAACCCAGAAAAGGTAACTTATTGTTCTAAGACTCTCACATATGTAAGTTGCTCCCCTCCTCCCCTTTTTTCTTCCTTTGTCACTGTTTTTATATTTTATCATCACAAATCAGCAGGCCTGAGTCAAAGTTTAAAAATAAGATCTATGCCCAGGGAAAACCCAGGACTTCAAGCTTCTCTTAGTTATCCAAGAAGCTAGGGTCTGGACAATGTTAAGAAAACAAAGAACTACAAAACATTAAATACCATTTATACTTGATGATAGCACTATTTGATGAGTCTTAGAGGCCAGGCATCATGAAACAAAGCCTTGAAGATGCTTCTTGATCCACCTAGGTGGAGTTGGTGGTGCTGATATTTAAATTCAGGCTATTGCTTCAATCTCAATTGCTTTGTAAGTGAATACATGATGCCAGAAGACAGCACAGACTGTGACCATGGTTTACATTCTTCACTGCTCACGTGATTGCTGTCAAGTCATTTTTACATCTAAACTAACATGTGCAGCATTTTACTTAGACTCATCTAATATTAAAACTTTTCTGCTGTAAAAATGTTCTACTGTCCCAATTGTACTGTAGTGGCATATAGGGAGAGCTAATCTCTGCACACCTTCTGCAGGCCAGTAGTTCTCAAAATGTCTGGGAACTTGTTATAAATGCAAATTCCACAGTCCACTCCAGAACCACAGAATCAGCAACTCTGAGTGTAGGACCCCAAAACTGTGTTTTAACAAGCCTTCCATGTGATTCTGACGCTTTCTAGAGACTGAGAATAACTGCTCTAGGCAAACACCCAAGAAACGCTACGGGCAGTTCCCAGGCAGGGCTGGCTACACTTGCTCCACCTTTGCCTCTTTTTAAAGTCCAGAATCACAGATGACCTGAAGATAATCTGCTTTTACTCATGAGTAAAAGCCCAAGATTGGTGCTAATGCCAAATGACTGGCCTCCGCTAGTCCCCAGGCTTCCTTCTTCTCTTGCCCTCTCATCAGTATTTACCTTCTGAGGAAGACAAGTGACGCTAATGCCTTAAATTCCAATGAAGCTATACGAACAGTTGTTCAGTCATACTTCTAAGACTTCACTTAGAAGTACTTCGGCATTAAAATATCACTCATGTGCATTATTTTAGAGATAATTATGAATAGCTTATAAAAATTATGAAGATGTAACATTACAGACAAAATGTAAGAAACTTGTTTTTTTTAAATTTGAGGCTTCAACCTTGGAATTTCACAGTGTGCTAAAATAATGGATTTCTCAGAGGTCTTTCTGCAAGATAAACATTATTAAGTAACTTATTTATAAAAGTATTAAAGTAATGCTTAAATTTGAATTTTATTGCTAACTTACAAAGATTTTCTATGTATCAAATGTAACTGCTACTAAACTTAATTTAATATTTACTCTATAACCAAATGAAATGTATTTAAAATATATTGAATATTTTATATTGTTATATCCTGACAAGATTATATTTTAATGTACTAATATTTCTGTAATTATACCTAAAATACTATTTTATTGTATTGCCTAAGAATAAAATTGAAAAAATTGTTATCTGGTATTCTTTTTTCAAAATGAAGATAATTTGTTTTTGGACTGTAAAAATAATAGATGTTCACTGTAAAAACATTAGACAATACAGAAGTTATGAAGAACAATATAAAAATTGCCATGATCTAGTATTCGCCCTCACCCAAGAAAATTGTTAAATTAAGATATATTCCCTTTCAGATTTTTTTCCCAATAAATCTACTTTTAAACAAAAATGAGATAAAAGCATGCTGTTTGTCACCAGATTTTTTTTAAACTTAATACATTGTGGACATATCTTCACATCAATAGCCCAGAATAAACCATCATCCATTGAATAGGTTTGTAACATAAGTCAGTGAATCCTCAATAACCATTCCTATGTCATTTCACATTTGCTCAATTATTTTTTCAGGATAAATCTCTAGAAAGAAAACAGTAGAATCGAAGTATTCATACAATCTTAGGCTTTTGATATACTGTATACACAAAAATGCTCTCCAGAAAGGTTGTTAGAATGTTCAGCTACATCAACAATGTAATGAAAACACTTATTTCCTTATGCCTTTACCAATAATGAATATTGCTGTTCTTTTGCATCTTTGCCTATCTCATTGTTTTAATTTACATTTTGTTCATTATCAGTGAAGCCCAACATTTGCCACTTTTAAATAGTACTTTTTTAAGTAGTATTTTTTTTTATGAGTGCTTGTTTTTGCTTTCCTGTGAAGGGTTTAATTGTGTATCTTCACTCATTTTCTATTGAGGTGTTGAAGGAGTTTTTACAAATCAGTAAGGAAAGCATATGGATTAGAGAAATTATGGGTTATATATTTTGATAAATGTTTCCCATTTATAATACAGATACTCCTTATTCAAAGAAAATAATTCATAAAATTTCAAATGTAGATAACTGGTAAAGAAGAATGCTTTTAATATACAAAATATGAAAAAAATACATGCAAAATATGAAATCTCATAGGAAAGCAAATTTCAGGCTGTATTAAATGGCAAAAAAGATAAAATCATGGGAAGAAATGGAATGAATAAACAGTGATCCTGGGTAATAATTCTAGAAGACCAAGAAAACTGTTGCTTACACAAATATTTTAGAAACATGCTCATAATTGGGCCAACATAATCTAATTTGAAAACACTTCAAGTAAAATGCATTTTAATGAATTTATTTTAATGAACTTATTTTTACTGCAGGTAAGTAGGAGAATGAGTGCTGTGTTTGAGCATATTCTCTTTCTCTCTACTTATAAGCTTGCTTGGAGAGAAAAATTTTGATCAGTCTCTAATGGATTCTTAGCAACCTATTGGCAGAGCACTGACAGAAGAGTGAGTGCCTCATTCAGTTTGTGTCCTAAGCACCATCCTAACTCATTTCACCCTAATCCCAGCTCTCCCTATTGGAAATTAACACCCAAGCAGAGGAAAAGGTAACTGATTATCAATAACCAGGCTAAATTTAAACATTCTGATACATGTGTTGTGTTTGCTTTGGCAGCACACATGCATTCAGATAAATGTGATCCTTCCTAGGATTTTGCATACTATATGATTTTTCTAAAAACATTGGCATTGCTCAAAAGCTTTTTAGAACTATTGCTTTGGAATTATTTTCAATTCCAATATATGAGTTGAACAAGGAAATGGTTTCATTACTTTATATTCAAGATCTACGACACGCTCAATATGTTTGGCTTCACAGCACATACTCAGATGAGTGAGACATGTGAAGGTATACATATTGACTTGGTAAACATGAAGTTTACAATCTGGTATGGGAAAATAAGACAAATACATGGATAATTGTAATACTGGAAAGAGCATGGTAAGTGTCATAAGAGACAATAAATAGTGGTCCAAAAGTTTGAGGCCTCAGAAAATAATTCATAAAAGGGGACACTTTAAGTGGTCCTTTAAGGACACTTAGGATTTCAAGAAGCAGAAGACAGTCAGAGGCAGGGTGGTATTCCAGGTGGCAGGAATGGCATGGATAAAGGTGAGTAGTTAGGAAAGAATAAAGCAATCTCATGGAAAAATTAATGGTCAAGAATATATGATATATATTTATTCACACACATATACACACAGAGTGGTAAATAAAGTGGCATTGTAGGAGGTTAGAGCTATGTTAGGGAGAGTTTAGAATACCAGGTTGAGCTTGTGCTTCATTGATTGCTATTACAGATTCAGTAAAGATCTGAAAAAAACAGTGGAATTATCATATAAATGGTAACCTGGAAGCTCCAATATTTATAATAATATGCTGGACTTGTCAGACTGTTTCATAATTTCAAGTGTTTTTAAAAGTACTGGATTGCTGTTAAGGACTTTTGGATTTGTAGATAACTATAAGTCATCCATTTCTTTTAAACTTGGGCTTCATAGTTGGAATGTCACAATTTGCAAAACTAGGCTCTTTGTAGACAAAATGTTTAGGAATATAGAAAAAGAAAAAGATTGGAGATAGAGAGGCCAATTAAAAGGGTAGCAGCTCAGATGATGGGTAATCATCTAGCAGTTGGAACAGAAAGGACAGATAAAGTAGATAGCAGTCATCAGAGAGAATCCAAAGGATGGAGGATGCATTAGTCAGGGTTCTCCAGAGAAACAGATGAAATAGAATGGATGGATGGACAGAAAGATAGATAAGTAGATCTATGAAAGGGGATTTATTGTGAGAATTGGCTCACATGATTTTGGAGGCTAAGAAGTCCTGCCATAGGTCATCTACAAGCTAGAGAACCAGGAAAGCTGGCAGCATGACTTAGTGCAAAGGCCTGAGAAACTGGGGAGCTGCTGGTACAAGTTCCAGAGTCCAGAGACCAGACAATCTGGAGTTCTGATGTCCAGGAGCAGGAGTAGATGGATGTCCCAACTTCAGAAGAGAGAGAGCATATTCCCCTTTCCTTGGTCTTTTTTGGTCTCTAGAGGCACGCAGTTAATTTGATGGTGCCTGCCCACATTGGGTGAGGGAAGATCTTCCTTACTCAGTCACTGATTCAAATGCCAATCTCTTCCAGAAACACCCTTACAGGTATACCCATAAATACGGCTTTACCACCTGTCTGGGCTTCCTTTAATTCAATCAAGTTGACACCTAAAATTAACCATCACAAGGTATTTGGGAGGTAATTAAAGATAATGTCAGTATTTTAAACCTTGATGACTGCAAAAATCATCTTTCCATTATCTGGAAAAAAGGAATTCAGCAGACAGTGTCTGGATTGAGAAGGGGGAAAAATGTGAGTTTAAAACCCTGTTGAGATCAAGCTCGAACAGGACACAAGTGGAAATTGCTTGAACATATGCAACAGAGTGAGAGTAAACAAACGTGCTAATTTAGAGAAAGAAAACCCACCATGAATCTATATGACACAAAATGAGTAGAGATCGTTTATGAGTAGAGATGTAAGGGAGAGAAAATGCTTTTTTTTCCCCTTTGCAAATCTACTACCAGACAGCATTAGGAACTTTGAGGTACAATTCTCTGCCTCATTTAATTTACCAGATTCAAATGATGCAAGAAGATAAAGGATGATCTCAATTATTGGCGAAGAGATAATGGATTTGATAATTGGATCACAATCTTCATTTTAAAGTTATTTCAAAATGGGTTTTCTTTTGGGAAGGGCAGCAATAAAAACCAAATTGCAAGTAATTAAGAAGTGAAAGGTTAAGTGGAAGCAGCAGGAACCTCATTTCTAAAGGTTTTGATCATAGATGGCTTATCCAGCTTGATCTCAATCTTCTCCCAAAATGTTGACTTGGAATGACTATTTCTAAAATCAATCAATTCTTAAAGGATGATTTGCCACTGTAGGATATGCTACCCCAAAATATGCCACTTTGGTATAAACATTATTTTGAGTCAAAGGCATTAAAAAAAAAAAAAAACTGTAGATGCAAGAACATTCTGATTTTCCTTTTTCTTCTTGAAGGCAGGAGGTGAAAATGCCCATGTGAAAAGTGTCCTTGCTGTACCAGGAGGAAGATATTCTTATCACCAGAGACAGGGAGTCAAAGCCAAGAGATATCTGTACAAACCAACTTTGTTAAACTAACCCTTATCTTCCCAGTCACTTCTCACGGTTAATGGCCCTAACCCAAAGCCCTTTGTTTTCTCGTATTTTCACAATTTACTACTCTTTGTCCAACCTATTATATGAGCTTTGGATCCTGACTGCTTCTTTGGGTCTTCATTTTTCTAGTGAAGTCTCTGGAGTACATGAAAGAGTTACTAACTAAAATTTGTATGCTTTCTTCCTTTTAATCCATTTTCTATCCGTTTAATTCTTAGGCCCAACCTAGATCCCAAGAGGGTAGAGAAGATATTTTCCTTTCCCTACACCGCTATTAAGAAGGAGCTCAAGAACGCAATTTAGAGGCCTTCCCAAATTATTTTGAAGAATGGCAACATCAATGGACTATCTTTAGATACTAGAGGAGTACATAACTCATAGTATATCTTTGTTGGCTTGTTTGTGAAAATCGAGGCATATGAAGTATTCTGTTATTTGGCCTCCATCGGTCCCTGGATTCCTGCTCTAGCCCGAGAGCTTCCATAGGGGAGAGTCAATAGTTAGGTGGTTAGACCCAGAGAGAGCTCTCTGGACGCTAAACAAGTACTGTGAAACCTAACTTCCCCTCTTCCCAGATTCTCACCTTGTAAAACAATGCCTGATAATTAGAGGGTTTACAGAATAATCAAAATCGGAGTGTATAAGAATCACTAGAGGACTCTGTCTCAAAAAAAAAGAATCACTAGAGGAGCTGGTTAATTATGAGGATTCTTAGGCCTTACACCATAGAAATTTTGATGTAGATGGTCCAGAAAAACAGTTTTTTTAACTGGCTACCGAAGGTTTACCTTGTAAACACGAGGTTCTTCTAGACCATGAACTCTACAA